GCAAGGGATGAGGGTGCGCGATCTGCCCAGTTCGTTTACCCTTAATTCTATTTATGTCCCTCCATGCCCGGCTAAGTGGGGTGTGAGCATTAAGACCGTTGACAAATTTTTCCCAGTCGGTTTGCCGCAGCTCTGTCATACGCTCTCTGGCAGCAGCAAGGGCAGTTTGGAAGAGCCTCAGCATTCCAGGGGTACGATGTTTTCTATAGGCTAGGCCTAGTCTGCGAGCAGTACGTTTCAGTGTACGAAGTTTAGAATCAGATGCCGGTCAGCCATGTTTAAATGCTCAATTCTTTCCCTCGTTTGGCACTGAAGAAAAAAGTCCTACAGACCTGTCATTTCCTTGGAGATTTAGTTGATCAGGTTTTCTGCCATGTTGTCTTCCCGTTAAACACTGGTGCAGTTGATATGGAGGTCAGTTATTTCATTGTAGTGGAAAACGTCTCATGTCTGGTTCACGTCTGGCAGCAGCAGGTCTGGTACTTGTACCAGAGTACTTGTAGTAAATGAAGATATTATTATTATAATACTATCGATAAGGTAACAAAAGGACCCCAGTGGAAATAAGTCACTCTGTCTGGCTTTTCTGGGTTATCCTAGGTTCTCTACACGTATGCTGGTATGTATGATAATCAAGTAACTGTATTTGTGTATACCTGGATATACTTACTGCAGTAGCTAAACATTTCCACCGAGAAACACAGTGATGGATGTTATGTTGGGTCAGCCTCTGGAGCCATATGTTGTTTTCTTCAAGGTACCGAACAAACACTCTTCAATTTGTGAAGGAAATAAAAATGTATAGCCTCTAAGAGGAGGTGACCATGGTCATGTCTAATATACAGAAGGTGGAAAAAGAATCTACAGAACAAAAAGCTTGCTGAAGAAGTAATTAAACAAAAATGATAGTGATATTGTTTAGTGCTAAATGAGGGAGAGGATTTAAATGGGAAGATACTTCATAAGATAGAGAGGTCACTTTCAAAGGAAGACCCTGTATATTTCAGAGGGGCTGTATAGTTTACAAAGAAATATAGTGAGGTAGAGAGAGATCAAGAGCCCTTCACCAGATTCAAGGTGGCTTCTTGAGTGAAATAAACCTTGCACAGTCCATTAATCCATTTCAAATGTAAAATACTCATGCGAGAATGTTTGTAATTAGTGTAATAATTCTTCTGTGAATTTCAGAGGTAATCACTAGTGAGTTTTGACAGGCAACTTGCAACAAATGCAATTAGGCAGGTAAATTATTATTATAACTAAGCACTAAACTCACAAGGGCTATACAGCACTGCTTAGGTAAGTAAAAAGTTGCCTGCCTAGACATTTCAGTTTGGGTCCATCACAAACCAAATGTGAACCCAGAAATGTTTGGTCTTGGGTTAGCAATTAGACTTGCTACTGTTATATTCTCATAAAGTACTAAATTCAAAAAGTCATACAGCATGAAACTGCAGGGAATGGGAAGTGCATAAGGGAAAATAAAAGGTGGAGCAATAGTTTCATCCAATATATGAAACATCAGATTCTACACTGAGTGTGAGGAAAGAAAAGCTTGAGCATGCAGGTATTGAACAGGAAGGTAATGATCAATACAGATCCTTTGACAAATGTGTGGTCATCACTCTATGTTGATGACTTCGCTATTGCCTGTGCAGGCGCTGACTGTCACCTCATTACAGTTTCTCTCCAGCATGCTGTCGACCGTGTTTCCAATTGGGCCACCACACATGGGTTTAAATTTTCCAGTACCAAAACTCACCAAATTACTTTCACTAGATGCTCTGTCATCTCCGATCATCCTTTGTACCTCTATGGCTCCCGTATCCCTGAACGTGATACAGTCAGGTTTCTAGGCCTCCTCTTTGACCGTAGGTTATCCTGGAAACCTCACATTACCTCTCTGAAGGCAACTTGTCACAGCCGGCTGAACCTTCTTAAAACCCTTGCTCATCTTTCATGGGGAGCTGATCGCCGAACTCTCCTTCGCCTACATTCCACCCTCATTTTATCAAAACTTGATTATGGTGACCAGATCTATTCAGCGACCTCTCCTGCTACTCTCTCTAGCCTTAACCCCATTCATCACCAAGGATTACGTTTATGCCTTGGTGCTTTTCACTCTTCCCCTGTCGAGAGCCTCTATGCAGAAGTGAATGTTCCATCCTTATCCGATCACCATGATCTCCATTGCCTTCGCTACTATGTACGCTCTCGTGATCTCCACAATCCTTCCATTTACAGAATGATCACCGATATTAGATGACATTATTTGTTCGCCACCCCTGTTTGCTCTGTCCCTTCTCTCTTCGCCTACATTCGCTCTTGTCTTCTCTTCAATTACCACCTTTCTATGTTCACGTAGCATCTCACTTTTCCCTACCCCCCCTGGGAAGTTCCAGCTGTTCGAGTCTGTTCTTTCTCACTCCCTTGCTCGAAAGTCCAACTGTCTATGGTAGCTTCCCACTCTCTTTTTCTTGACCACTTCCACTCTCATTCTCATGCCATTGCAGTGTACACAGATGGCTCTAAGTCTTCTGACGGCGTAAGATTCGCAGCAGTGTTTCCGGACAGCGTCGTACAAGGGCATTTACTATCTTCGGCTAGTATTTTTACTGCTGAATTGTATGCCATTCTTGCAGCACTTATCCATATTGCATCTATGCCTGTGTCATCATTTGTGGTTATCTCAGACTTCCTTAGTGCTTTACAGGCTATACAGAAATTTGATACACCTCACCTCTTAGTCCTCCGTATCCAACTTTGGCTACGCCGCATCTCTACCAAACATAAAGATATTGTTTTCTGTTGGGCCCCTGGTCATGTTGATGTACAGGGCAATGAACAGGCAGACACTGCTGCGCAGTCAGCAGTACATGACCTACCAGTTTCATATAGAGGTGTTCCATTTACAGACTATTTTACTGCAATAGCTAACCACCTTCACACCCGTTGGCAACAACATTGGTCTACTCTGCTCGGTAACAAACTTCAATCTATTAAACCGAGTATAGGTTACTGGCCGTCTTCTTGTCACCAGTGTCGAGGTTGGGAGACTACTCTCTCCCGTCTTCACATTGGCCATACTCGTCTTACTCATGGATATCTCATGGAGAGGCGCCCTGCTTCTCTCTGTGAAAATTGTCAGGTTCCATTATCGGTCAGCCACATTCTGTTAGACTGCTCACTTTATCAACGAGCACTCAGAATATACCTCCAACGTCGTCTTCGCTCCGCTGCTCTCTCTTTACCTTCCCTTCTTGCTGATGGACCCACCTTTCATCCGGACTCTCTCATTGACTTTTTTGACAACAACTGACTTACTTCACAAACTCTGATGATACCTTCAGCCCTTTCTACCTCAATCTCTTGCTACCTTCTGCCCCCGCACTATCCCCTGCCCCGCTGTTTTCTGTAACCTACTGATCATCCCTCCCCCCATTCTGCCGCCCAATATCCTCGCTTCCTTCCCTACCCTGCAGCGCTGTATAGTCCTTGTGGCTTAGCGCTTTTTTTATTATAATAATAATTTGACGAATGTGTAACACCTCAATCAAATTGTTGGACTGTCAATAAGAGACGGCAAATCTTGCAGAGACGGCATTTGATTAAAAGGAGCTCGTTGCTCTGATACACCAACGATGCTGTCAACAATCAATGCATTTAGAGAAGACAGGATTGTATTTATGAAGTGCTCAACCCATAAGAGTCATAAGCATATGTGAAATGGGAAGCAATTACATTTAGCTCCTATCCCTTGGATGAAAAGCCTTCACAAGCAGCAGGCAATAAGGACAAGTTACTTGTAAGATGAAGGACTGGGTTTAGCGCTTAGTTCCGATTATAATAGCTATTTTTGAGGGGCTTGCACTTCCAGCAAGCGTGCGTGAGCATATTTGATGGGGGTGAATGGAGACAAATGGTTTTTAATACCTGATGTGCTGTTGGAGTGTGAGCAAAGTAACATTTATGAAGGGATTCAGGGAAACTGGCAGGCCAGACTGGAGTCCTGGAGATGGGAAGTACAGTGTCTACACTCTGAAGGTTGGGTGTAATGTTGCAGTTTTATAATTGTAGTGTAAAACACCCCTGTGACAAGAGTGATGGAATGATGGATGATGAAAGTTTTTCTTTTTTGGGCCACCCTGCCTTGGTGGGAATCGGGCAATTTGTTAAAAAAAAAAATTTCATGAAGTGCTAAACCCGTAGGGATTATACAGCACCTTGATTATAATATGAAGGGTGCCAAACCACAATGAGCCGAGGAGTTTACAGGATCATTACACCAGATTTAATCCGCAGCATATACAGCAGCATGGGAAAGCTGCCATATCCACTCAACAGTAAGTACAAGAACTGGTCATGGTAGTGTTTGCATGATTAATTTTCCCATCTAGGATCTACATGTGGATGAATTCAGTGTTAAGATGTAAACACTTGATCATATTTAGTCTGCATGACACAGCAGGCACTAGCCCTAGCACCCCCTCCTCTTTGAATTCAAGCCTTTCTCACTATTTAACTAATTCTGTTGGTATCTTCATATACTAATTAACCTCAATCTCTTGCTACCCTCTACCCCCCGCCCCGCTGTTTTCTGTAACCTACTAATCATCCCTCCCCCCTTCTGCCACCCTATACCCTCGCTTCCTTCCCTACCCTGCAGCGCTGTATAGCCCTTGTGGCTTAGCACTTCTTTTTGATTATAATAATACAGTGGACCCCCGCTTTACAATCAGCTCCCAATGCAACCAATTATGTAAGTGTATTTATGTAAGTGCGTTTGTACGTGTATGTTTGGGGGTCTGAAATGGACTAATCTACTTCACAATATTCCTTATGGGAACAAATTTGTTCAGTGCTGGCACCTGAACATACTTCTGGAATGAAATAATATCGTAAACCGGGGGTCCACTGTAATTAAGTTCAAGCAGTATTTAATTTCCCACTTTACTGACAGGCAATATGATTACTGGAGGTGGATCAGTCATAGACCTCAAGACTTTGTGATGTTCTTTATTGATTACCAACAATATTTAAATTTCTCTTCTTTTTCTTCATCTGTTTGTTTACTGCCTCTTGAGCCACATCCATGTCTCCGTTCACTTCCTTTTCTTCTCCATTTTCTTTTGCACTTTTCATTAACTTTCTTTTTCTGCTTTTCATCACCATTTCCCTGAGGAGAGAATGTTAAACTATATCAGAAGACAATCAACATGAAATAATAGGCATAATGACAACCTATAAGAGGAATTTAAAAACAGAATTTATACAGCAAACCCTCCATTTAATGGACCATGATGAGAAAATCTATTGGGTCGACCAATTCAGAAAGAATTAACAAATTCATTTTTATAGTTTTTTTTTGCTATGACTGTAGTAACAAACAAAAAAAAAAAAAAAAATCTCATCTCAAACCCTCAAGAACAGAATAATGAAGGGGGGATTACTACAATAGATCCACATTTATATAGAGTATTTCCAATGTTAGGTATATTTATTCTCATATTTATACTGTACTGTATACATACAAAAGGATAGTGGTTTTAAAAGTTATTTGACAAATAATTCTATATTCTGCAATCAAATCATAAGTGCCAGCAACAATTAGGAGTCTTACTTTCGTTTACGCTTGTTGAACTGCTCATAAAGAACCCCTTGTGAGACGTGACCTCGTTTTGGCTGCTGGGTAGATAACCTCTTCTTTTCATTTTTCTTTGGTTTCTTAAGTGTAAGCATCCAACTCGGAACATCTTGACCAGAGCTCTTAATCACATGTGCAACACTGTTTAAATAAAAACATTTCTCAATGAAATTTTACAAGAAAATTATCATTTTCCACAATTAGCTGTAAGCCAAAGGGATCAAGGATTTACCCAGGATATCTAATGTACAACTCCCTTGTAAACAATCAAAAAATTTCTAGAAATCGAATTCAATAAATTTATTTCTGCCTCATCGTTCATGGATTTTAATGCATTTGCTATTTCTTACCAATAAACAAAACCCCCACTAGAAAAATGTTCATCACTTTTTCTCAAGCCATCTTTAATGACCTGCATTTACATCACAATTCAAATGACGAACTGGAATGCAACATTATCATCCATCCCTCAGAGTAAAAGTACTACTGTACTGAACTGTAATGAGAGTGCCCTTCTAGCAAGAGTGATTGTATGAGCAAAAGTGTTTTCTTTGTCAGTCACCCTACCTCGGCAGGAGATGGCTGGAGAGCTAAAAAAAAAAAAAAAAAAAAGCTTTAGAGAAACTGGGAAGGAAAGTTAAATGTATACCTGATGTTAGTTGAAGTTTGTAAGATTTATTTACTATCTTGCTTATTCATGAGACATTATTATTATCATTATAATCAAAACTAAGTGCTAAACCCACAAGGGTCATACAGCACTGTATCCGTGAGACAGAAAAGATCTGCAATCCTACCAGACTGTCAAGTATTTAACATACTTCCATTGCACAATCATATGACAGGACAAAAGTGCCTCCTTGGATGGCTGCTGTCTACCAACCTACTACAGTGGACCCCCAGATATCATACCTTTGATATACCTTTACCTTTGAAGAATTTCGAGAGTATATCTACTCTCTGAGCCCGGCCATGGGCCAGGCTCGTCTAGTGCTCGCCTGGTCAACCAGGCTGTTGCTGCTGGAGGCCTGCTGTCCCACATATCCATCACAACCTGGTTGATCTGGCACCTGGTGAACATACTTGTCTAGTTTCCTCTTGAAGGCTTCAACACTTGTTCCAGCAGTGTTTCTGATATCTTCTGGTAAGGAGTTGAAAAGTCTGGGACCCCGGATGTTGATAGTGTTCCCTTATTGTCCCCACCGCACCCCTGCTCCTCACTGGGTTTATTTTACACTTCCTCCCATATGTTGTTATGGCAGTGTGCAGATTTGGGACCAAGTCCTCGAGTACCTTCCCGGTATATATTATCATGTACCTCTCTCCTCCGCTCGTAGTCATCAGATTTCGTAATATTCAGTAATTGTAATGTTTTTTTGGTCAAAATATTGGCTCGGTGATGGTCAATTAGCTCGGAAATAATCGTTTGTCCCGAATGCGTACGAGCGGCCCCACACACCATTCACAGTCAGTCTGCCATTGTTTATCAGCAAGTGGCCGTCACCCCATGCGTTCATACAATACATTTCATAGTATTCCATTCTTTTTAGTGCTTGCAACTGCCAACATGGGCCCAAAGAAAGTTCCTAGTGCCAGCCAGCCCTTTGGTAGAGGGCTGAGAGAGAGGGGAGAATGTGCCTTCTTCAGTGATTCTGCAATATGTACATACTAAAGCAGCAGTAGTCGATAAAGGCTATAGCGCCAGCCAGTGATAAAGTGTAGCATTAACAGTGTAGCAAATAAGTTTAACAATTAATCGACAGAAAAAGGACAGCATGAAACTGACTCCTCCAATGTTCTTGGAGGTATATAGGGTGACTGACAACACTGCCACCTCTGCTGCCGCCATCAGCACCACTATGTAAGGCCCTTATACACCCAACAACAAAACACCACTTGTCACATACTTAATGACATATTTTATTTATTCTAGAGCATATATCATGTTTCTATGTTATTAACATTGTTTATGTCATATCAGATGAATTGTGCTAGATAAATAAGCCGTAAAGTTGATATTAGTGTCATATTGAAGGACTATCTAGTCCCGACGCTAAACACACCCCCTCGCCGCTTCCACAATTCCTAACATACTCAAGAAACAGACTTCTCTGGAACACTTTTTTGAGCAACAGGGGTCCAGTGACTCTCAAGCCGGTCCTAGTGGCATTAAAAAACAAAGAAGTAACCACGGAAAAGGACTTGGCACCTGAAGTCTTTATGGAAGGGGATTTCCCTTCCAAATAGTAATTTCTCCATCCTCTCCCCTCTTTCCATCTTCAATACACTAAGAAGAGTCTTCAATAAAGTTAAGAGTCATTGTTGTTATTGTTTTATTCTTCGTGTCTCATTGTTTTCTGTGTAGGTAAATGTATATTTCATGAAAAAAAAAATTTTTTTTTTTTTAAAACTTTTGGATGTCTGGAATGGATAAAGTGGATTTACATTATTTCTTATGGGGAAAATGATTTTGGAAATCATCAAATTTGGCTTTAGTCACACTCTCTGGAACGGATTAATTATGATAAACGGGGTCCACTGTACTAGTGAAGTAAAGGGTAGTCAGGTTTTCACATTTTTTACCTTCTTAGGTAAGGCTTGTCAGCCATTGTCCAGAATGTAATTGCATGCCCTTGGTGATGAGCTCTTCCTGTTCGTCCCACTCTATGGATGTAACTGATTGCTGATGGTGGGAAATCATAATTGATTATGAGATTGACACCCTTGAAGTCGATACCACGGGCCATGAGCTCTGTACATATCAAGACCCAAATTTTTCGTTCTCTAAATGCTCGAACGACATTGTCACGCTGGAAAAAATTAATGATTTATTTTAGTGTTATTTTAACTCATGTACTAACAATGGTGTAAAAATATTTAGTTCTTATAAATAATTAACAACTGAGCAAGTAATAATCTTGAGACACTGCTGTGTGGCCAGCCTTAATATTTTTAAAGGGAGTGGAAAGCCTACCATCTCATGTATGCCAGTAAATTTTGTATAAATATTTGAATTTCATTTTGTGATAATTATTATGTTTCTTAAATAAAATTCATAAAAAGTACTGATGTGCCCATTCTTACCTGCAGTTGTGTGCGATCTGAATGGATAGCATCAACCATAATATTGTCATATATCAGCTCCTTAAATAATTCCTTTGCTCTCTCTTTGGTTTGTACAAACAACAGCACTGGAGGCTCATATCCCTGAAGCATAATTAACTAATATCACAAATTCTGTTTAAAAAAATCCTTCCTGAAATATTTATATATACACAGTACAGGTCTCCCTCAACATTTGCGAGGATTAGGGGATCAAGAGCCTCGCGAATGTTGAAAAACCGTGAATGTTTGGTGCCCCAATATATTGTAGGGAAATATAATCCAATACTGCTTCTTGTTGAACCATGAACAATCATAAAATACATGAAAACGTCGTAAATTGTACTAAATATATACATGTTATGTTTTACTAACATGTATGTTATTAAATACCACAGACTCCTCCACTGCCTCCATCAATGCCTCCACCACTTCCTCAACCACTGCGAGTCCCTACTACCCTCCCTCCGAGCCCCGCAACTGGCAGCCAGCCCTCCCACCACTCAGTGTGGTGAGTGTTTTGTTTGTTCATTATTTGCTATTAAACTACAGTATAAATAATGTAAACCCATTCATGACTGCATATTGGAATGGCTATTCAGAAAGGTATTGGATGGTGACATCATGTGTTTACTCTTGAACACAGCAAAGAATCAAACATTTCTGCTTCTGCTAATAATAACAATAGTAGTAGTAGTAATAATAATAATAATAATAATAATAATAATAATACGATATAATTGAAGAAGGAAATTGTACAAAAATACGAGGGAGTGGTTGACACATCGTCAGTGTGGCTTTGTTTATGCTGGAGTGAACATTAGTCTCCCTGCTCTTCCAAACATTTCACAATAATTCAGCAGTTGAGGCAGTGGTATTTAATAACATATATGTTATAAATAATAATAGTACATATTATTAATAACATGTATTATTATTATTAATAACATGTATGTTATTAAATACCACTGCCTTAACAGCTGCCTCAACCACTGCCTCAATCGCTGCCTCAACAGCTGCCTCAACCACTGCCTCAATCGCTGCCTCAATAGCTGCCTCAACCACTGCCTCAATCGCTGCCTCACCCACTGCCTCAATCGCTGCCTCAACAGCTGCCTCAATCGCTGCCTCAACAGCTGCTTCACCCACTGCCTCAATCGCTGCCTCAACAGCTGCCTCAACCACTGCCTCAATCGCTGCCTCAACAGCTGCCTCACCCACTGCCTCAATCGCTGCCTCAACAGCTGCCTCACCCACTGCCTCAATTGCTGCCTCAACAGCTGCCTCACCCACTGCCTCAATTGCTGCCTCAACAGCTGCTTCACCCACTGCCTCAACAGCTGCCTCAACCACTGCCTCAATCGCTGCCTCACCCACTGCCTCAATCACTGCCTCAACAGCTGCCTCAACCACTGCCTCAATCGCTGCCTCAACAGCTGCCTCACCCACTGCCTCAACCGCTGCCTCAACAGCTGCCTCAACCACTGCCTCAATCGCTGCCTCAACAGCTGCCTCAACCACTGCCTCTATCGGTCTCAACAGCTGCCTCACCCACTGCCTCAATCGCTGCCTCAACAGCTGCTTCACCCACTGCCTCAATCGCTGCCTCAACAGCTGCCTCAACCACTGCCTCAATCGCTGCCTCAACAGCTGCCTCACCCACTGCCTCAATCGCTGCCTCAACAGGTGCCTCAACCACTGCCTCAATCACTGCCTCAACAGCTGCCTCACCCACTGCCTCAATCGCTGCCTCAACAGCTGCCTCAACCACTGCCTCAATCGCTGCCTCAACAGCTGCCTCAACCACTGCCTCTATCGGTCTCAACAGCTGCCTCACCCACTACCTCAATCGCTGCCTCAACAGCTGCCTCACCCACTGCCTCAATCGCTGCCTCAACAGCTGCCTCACCCATTGCCTCAATCGCTGCTTCAACAGCTGCCTCAACCGCTGCCTCAATCGCTGCCTCAACAGCTGCCTCAACCACTGCCTCAATCGCTGCCTCAACAGCAGCCTCATCCACTGCCTCAATCGCTGCCTCAACCACTGCCTCTACCACTCCAGTCACACTCAATCTACAAGCACCAAACACAATGAATTATTGTGAAATGTTTGGAAGAGCACGGAGACTAATGTTCACTCCAGCATAAACAAAGTCACACTGACGATGTGTCAACCACTCCCTCATATTTTTGTACAACTTCCTTCTTCAATTATATCGTATTTATTATTATTATTATTATTTTTATTATTATTATTATTATTATTATTATTATTACTATTGTTATTATTAGCAGTAGCAGAAATGTTTGATTCTTTGCTGTGTTCAAGAGTAAACACATGATGTCACTGTCTAATACCTGTCCGAATAGCCATTCCAATATGCAGTCAAGAATGGGTTTACATTATTTATACTGTAGTTTAATAGCAAATAATGAACAAACAAAACACTCACCACACTGAGTGGTGGGAGGGCTGGCTGCCAGTTGTGGGGGTCGGTGGGAGGGTAGTAGGGACTCGCAGGTGGCGGGAAACTTGAATATGATTTGGCGGCTGGGAATTTGGTGGCTGGGAATTTGGCGGTTGGGAATTCGCGAATGTGTGAAGCCCGCGAAAGCTGAAAACGTGAATGTTGAGGGAGACCGGTATTGTTAAAGAAACAAAAAAAAAGAAATGATAATGTGTATGAAAAAGTTTATTACTTGGTGGAACTATGAATAATTAACATTTGATTACAGAGTATAACAAAAAATTTTTTTATAATACAAGCTTGGAATGAAATTTTCAATGAATTAACAGATATTTCCATAAAGCCAATAACATGCACAGCATTTAGGGCAGAAATATTACAAATACCTATACAAATAATTCCCTGCCTTGGTGGGAAACGGCTGGTGCATAAAAATAAAAATACAATGGTATCTTGAGTTACGAACTTAATTAGTTCCAGAAGGCTGTTTGAGTGCCGATACCGAACAAATTTGTTCCCATAAGGAATAACATAAATTAGATTAATCCATGTCAAACCCCCAAATATACACTTACAAAAGCACTTACAAAAATACACTTACATAATTGTTCGAAGTGGGAGCTGTTCGAAACTCAAGGTACCACTGTATAATATTGTGTAACATACCAGTGCTGTATGACCCTTGTGGGTTTAGTGTTTAAATATGATTATAATAATGTGTAACATACCAATCGGATTTTAGGAACACGTTAAAGTTATACAGAGCAAGTTTGTACGTATAGCAAAAAAATTGCCCTCAACATAAAATACGAATTGAGGCAAAATGTTTGTAACATATATGAATATATTAAATGCATAAAATAGGGTGGATAAGGTAGCAATGTGGCAGGAGTGGCAAATGTGTGGAGTATGTTGCATATTATTAAATGCTGTGAAGAGCTTTTAAGAGAAGAGCAAGTCTTGGAACACTGTTCATTATACAATAGGGAATTATTTTCCAGAAAAGTAGGCCTTAGACTGAGATGTGTGATGTTGCCTTGCTTTCACACAAACTCTCACAATCACTCGATTACAAAGGCACACTATGAAAAAGGATACCCAGAGATGTAGAATCCTTGACTCAGCACTCGACATATTCATCATTTTCAACCAGGACAACTACGTTCACAACATAACTGAGCTGCTTGCCATGAAGTTTCTAGATCATCTTCCCATGTAGCAACATCTCAGAGGAACACAGCAACAGGTATGTCAACCCACACTCAGCACTTGCCTCTTAATCTCCACCTCCCAGTACTCACCTATATATGCTCAACCTTGCTCTCCAGGTCTATCTGTTTGTGACTTGATAATTGTTGGGTGGCATTTGGTAGGCCACTGATATAAAGGAGGAACAGAAGAGAGCCTAGAATACTACCTTAAGATAACTATACATAATATTTGCTGGTCATGCCTCATATTGAAGACAAGAGGAGAATAGATAATGATTTTATATCAAATTGTATCAAATTTTGCTATGCTAAAGTGATTTAAAAAATGAACTATGAAGATGTAACATGGAATAATTAAAAAGTTTCAATTAAAAAAATAATAAAATATTACTTATATGAATTTAATCAATTAGTGTTACATTTCAAATGTTACAAAAGAAGCGTATTGTTCAAACCTTTCGGAAAATATCTCGAAGAGCTAAGAGTTTTCCACTTTCATCCCCGCAGTACATTAAATCTTGCTTCACATCCTCTGATGCAGTATTTCTGAAAGATAATATAACACATTACAGGCTAATTCTAATATTACATGAGTTATTTCAAAGAAACCAATGTAGACTAAATTTAAACAGCCTCCAGGATGAATGTCATCTCATAGTATGGCAGTAAGATCTGTAAAAATGCATGCATGAAACATATTAAGCACATAAGATATTTTTAAAGATTTGATAAGAAAATCAGCAAATCTATTTAAACATAGCAAGTCAAAAATTATGTGAAGCAACTGGTCTTTGAGATGTCATAGCAGTCATTAATCTTACATGTTCAAATGGATGTAATGAATGTCAATGTACACTGTATGTACAATATTTAAAATAATATGAACACATATTCCTAGGTAGTAGGTTGGAAGACAGCAACCGCCCAGGGAGATACTACCGTCCTGCCAAGTGAGTGTAAAACGGAAACCTGTAATTGTTTTACATGATGGTAGGATTGCTGGTGTCCTTTTTTCCGTCTCATAAACATGCAAGATTTCAGGTACGTCTTGCTACATCTACTTACACTTAGGTCACACTACACATACATGTACAAGCACATATATACACACCCCTCTGGGTTTTCTTCTATTTTCTTTCTAGTTCTTATTCTTGTTCATTTCCTCTTATCTCCATGGGGAAGTGGAACAGAATTCTTCCTCCGTAAGCCATGCGTGTTGTAAGAGGCGACTAAAATGCCGGGAGCAAGGGGCTAGTAACCTCTTCTCCTGTATATATTACTAAATGTAAAAGGAGAAACTTTCGTTTTTCCTTTTGGGCCACCCCGCCTTGGTGGGATACAGCCGGTGTGTTGAAAGAAGAAGAAGAATATATATATATATATATATATATAAATATATATATATATATATAATATATATATATTACAGTGGACCCCCGGTTAACGATTTTAATCCGTGCAAGAGGGGTAATTGTTATGCGAAATAATCGCTATGTGAATGAATTTTCCCCATGAGAAATAATGGAAATAAAATTAATCCGTGCAAGACACCCAAAAGTATGAAAAAAAAATTTTTTTACATGACACTTACTTTTATTGAAGATCTGGTGATGATTGATGGGATGGGAGGAGGGGAGAGAGAGTGTTAGTGTTTAGAAGGGAATCCCCTTCCATTAAGACTTGAGGTGGCAAGTCCTTTTCTGGGGTTACTTCCCTTCTTCTTTTAATGCCACTAGGACCAGCTTCAGAGTCACTGGACTTCTTTCGCACAACATATCTGTCCATAGTGGCCTGTACCTCTCGTTCCTTTATGACTTCCCTAAAGTGTTTCACAACATTGTCAGTGTAATAATCACCAGCACGGCTTGCAATAGCTGTGTGAGGGTGATTTTCATCCATGAAGGTTTGCACTTCAAGCCACTTTGCACAGATTTCCTTTATCTTTGTAGTAGGCAACTTCTTCAATTTCTCTCTCCCCTCCTCTGAACCAGTTTCCTCAGGTCTGGCCTCTTGCTGTTGAAGTTGATCTATCAGCTCATAAGTGGTTAGTTCTTCATTGTCCTCCTCCACCAACTCTTCCACATCCTCCCCACTAACCTCCAACCCCAAGGACTTTCCCAATGCCACAATGGATTCCTCAACTGGAATAATCCTCTCAGGGTTAGCCTCAAACCCTTCAAAATCCCTTTTGTCTACACATTCTGGCCACAGTTTCTTCCAAGCAGAGTTCAAGGTCTTCTTAGTCACATCCCTCCCAAGCCTTACCTATAAGGTTTTACACAATTGAGGATATTAAAGTGCTCTCTCCAAAACTCTCTTAGAGTCAGTTGAGTTTCTGAGGTCACTACAAAGCACCTTTCAAACAGAGCTTTTGTGTACAGTTTCTTGAAGTTGGAAATGACCTGCTGGTCCATGGGCTGCAGGAGAGGAGTGGTATTAGGAGGCAAAAACTTCACCTTAATGAAGCTCATGTCCCCATAAAGTCGCTCTGCCACGTCTGTAGGATGACCAGGGGCATTGTCTAACACCAGGAGGCACTTAAGGTCTAATTTCTTTTCAGTTAGGTAATCTTTCACATTGGGGGCAAATGCATGGTGTAACCAGTTATAGAAAAAGTCCCTAGTGACCCATGCCTTACTGTTTGCCCTCCACAGCACACACAAATTATCCTTGAGGACATTCTTTTGCCTGAACGCTCTGGAGTTTCAGAGTGATACACTAATAAAGGCTTAACTTTGCAATCACCACTAGCATTGGCACACATCAACAAAGTAAGCCTGTCTTTCATAGGCTTATGTCCTGGGAGTGCCTTTTCCTCCTGAGTAATGTAGGTCCTGCTTGGCATTTTCTTCCAGAACAGGCCTGTTTCATCACAATTAAACACTTGTTCAGGTTTCAGTCCTTCACTGTCTATGTACTCCTTGAATTCCTGCACATATTTTTCAGCCGCTTTGTGGTCCGAACTGGCAGCCTCACCATGCCTTATCACACTATGGATGCCACTACGCTTCTTAAATCTCTCAAACCAACCTTTGCTGGCCTTAAATTCACTCACATCATCACTAGTTGCAGGCATTTTTTTAATTAAATCCTCATGCAACTTCCTAGCCTTTTCACATATGATCGCTTGAGAGACGCTATCTCCTGCTAGCTGTTTTTCATTTATCCACACCAATAAGAGTCTCTCAACATCTTCCATCACTTGCGATCTTTGTTTCGAAAACACAGTTAAACCTTTGGCAAGAACAGCTTCCTTGATTGTCTTTCTGGTGCCACAATAGTAGCGATGGTTGATTGGGGTTTCTTGTACAACTTGACTAGGTCGGCGATATGCACTCCACTTTCATACTTATCAATGATCTCTTTCTTCATTTCAATGGGAATTCTCACCCTTATTGGTGTACGGTTGGCACTAGAAGCTTTCTTGGGGCCCATGGTCACTTATTTTCCAGAAACAGCACCGAAAACACTGTAATAATACGAAATATTCCGAGTGTATGCTTGGATGTTACCGCGGAGGCAGGCTGGTAAACAATGGGACGGGCGGCACATGTGAGGCTGGCTGAGGGCGCACATTGGACGCGTCTCGGACGAAAATCGGTGAGCGGGTTTTAATCGGTATGCGCGGCAAAATTTTTGCGATTAAAGTAAGCGGTATGCGGATTAATCGCTATGTGATGCCATCGTTATGCGGGGGTCCACTGTATATATATATATATATATATATATATATATATATATATATAATATTATATATACATACATATATATATACACCCCTCTGGGTTTTCTTCTATTTTCTTTCTAGTTCTTGTTCTTGTTTATTTCCTCTTATCTCCATGGAGAAGTGGAACAGAATTCTTCCTCCGTAAGCCATGCGTGTTGTAAGAGGCGACTAAAATGCTGGGAGCAAGGGTCTAGTAACCCCTTCTCCTATATAAATTACTAAATTTAAAAAGAGAAACTTTTGTTTTTCTTTTTGGGCCACCCTGCCTTGGTGGGATACGGCCAGTTTGTTGAAAAAAAATAAAAACTAAAAAAAATAAACACCTATTATACAGTATTTACATATGTAACAGAACAAGTATTTCCTTTACATATGCACACCTCCATACACAACAACACACAATACGTACATTTATTTTTCACATATATAAAGTTATATCCAAATTACACACAAACGTAACTTTTTTTTTTTAACACGTCGGCCATTTCCTATCGAGGCAGAGTGACCTAAAAAGAAAGAAAAACCAAAAAGAAAGAAAAAACTTTCATCATCATTCAAAACTTTCACCATCACTCATACATAATCACTGTCTTTGCAGAGGCTCTCAGATACGACAGTTTAGACATCCCTCCAAACTGCCAATATCCTAAACCCCTCCTTTAAAATGCAGGCATTGTTAGCAGGGCTCAAGTCCTGCTAACCAGTTTCCCTGAATCTCTTCACAAAATATTACCCTGCTCACACTCCAACAGCTCGTCAGGTCCCAAGAACCATTCGTCTCCATTCACTCCTATCTAACATGCTCATGCACGCTTGCTGGAAGTCCAAACCCCTCGCCCACAAAACCTCCTTTATCTTCTCCCTCCAACCTTTTTGGGGATGACCCTACCCTGCCTTCCTTCCCCACAGATTTATTTTTTTTTTTTTATTATCACACTGGCTGATTCCCACCAAGGCAGGGTGGCCCGAAAAAGAAAAACTTTCACCATCATTCACTCCATCATTGTCTTGCCAGAAGGGTGCTTTACACTACAGTTTTTAAACTGCAACATTAACACCCCTCCTTCAGAGTGCAGGCACTGTACTTCCCATCTCCAGGACTCAAGTCCAGTCTGCCAGTTTCCCTGAACCCCTTCATAAATGTTACTTTGCTCACACTCCAACAGCAAGTCTCCATTCACTCCTATCAAACACGCTCACGCATGCCTGCTGGAAGTCCAAGCCCCTCGCACACAAAACCTCCTTTACCCCCTCCCTCCAACCTTTCCTAGGCCGACCCCTACCCCGCCTTCCTTCCACTACAGACTGATACACTCTTGAAGTCACTATATTTCGCTCCATTCTCTCTACATGTCCGAACCACCTCAACAACCCTTCCTCAGCCCTCTGGACAACAGTTTTGGTAATCCCGCACCTCCTCCTAACTTCCAAACTACGAATTCTCTGCATTATATTCACACCACACATTGCCCTCAGACATGACATCTCCACTGCCTCCAGCCTTCTCCTCGCTGCAACATTCATCACCCATGCTTCACACCCATATAAGAGCGTTGGTAAAACTATACTCTCATACATTCCCCTCTTTGCCTCCAAGGACAAAGTTCTTTGTCTCCACAGACTCCTAAGTGCACCACTCACCCTTTTCCCCTCATCAATTCTTTGATTCACCTCATCTTTCAAAGACCCATCCGCTGACACGTCCACTCCCAAATATCTGAATACATTCACCTCCTCCATACTCTCTCCCTCCAATCTGATATCCAATCTTTCATCACCTAATCTTTTTGTTATCCTCATAACCTTACTCTTTCCTGTATTCACTTTTAATTTTCTTCTTTTGCACACCCTACCAAATTCATCCACCAATCTCTGCAACTTCTCTTCAGAATCTCCCAAGAGCACAGTGTCATCAGCAAAGAGCAACTGTGACAACTCCCACTTTGTGTGATTCTTTATCTTTTAACTCCACGCCTCTTGCCAAGACCCTCGCATTTACTTCTCTTACAACCCCATCTATAAATATATTAAACAACCACGGTGACATCACACATCCTTGTCTAAGGCCTACTTTTACTGGGAAATAATTTCCCTCTTTCCTACATACTCTAACTTGAGCCTCACTATCCTCATAAAAACTCTTCACTGCTTTCAGTAGCCTACCTCCTACACCATACACCTGCAACATCTGCCACACTGCCCCCCTATCCACCCTGTCATATGCCTTTTCCAAATCCATAAATGCCACAAAGACCTCTTTAGGCTTATCTAAATACTGTTCACTTATATGTTTCACTGTATACACCTGGTCCACACACCCCCTACCTTTCCTAAAGCCTCCTTGTTCATCTGCTATCCTATTCTCCGTCTTACTCTTAATTCTTTCAATAATAACTCTACCATACACTTTACCAGGTATACTCAACAGACTTATCCCCCTATAATTTTTGCACTCTCTTTTGTCCCCTTTGCCTTTATACAAAGGAACTATGCATGCTCTCTGCCAATCCCTAGGTACCTTATCCTCTTCCATACATTTATTAAATAACTGCACCAACCACTCCAAAACTATATCCCCACCTGCTTTTAACATTTCTATCTTTATCCCATCAATCCCGGCTGCCTTACCCCCTTTCATTTTACCTACTGCCTCACAAACTTCCCCCACACTCACAACTGGCTCTTCCTCACTCCTACAAGATGTTATTCCTCCTTGCCCTATACACAAAATCACAGCTTCCCTATCTTCATCAACATTTAACATTTCCTCAAAATATTCCCTCCCTCTTCCCAATACCTCTAACTCTCCATTTAATAACTCTCCTCTTCTATTTTTAACTGACAAATCCATTTGTTCTCTAGGCTTTCTTAACTTGTTAATCTCACTCCAAAACTTTTTCTTATTTTCAACAAAATTTGTTGATAACATCTCACCCACTCTCTCATTTGCTCTCTTTTTACATTGCTTCACCACTCTCTTAACCTCTCTCTTTTTCTCCATATACTCTTCCCTCCTTGCATCACTTCTACTTTGCAAAAACTTCTCATATGCTAACTTTTTCATTCCACCAATTGCTCCTCTTCCCTCCAGCACCCACTTTCCTGTAACCACAAACTTCTGCTGAACACTCTAACACTACATTTTTAAACCTACCCCATACCTCTTCAACCCCATTTCCTATGCTCTCATTAGCCCATCTATCCTCCAATAGCTGTTTATATCTTACCCTAACTGCCTCCTCTTTTAGTTTATAAACCTTCACCTCTCTCTTCCCTGATGCTTCTATTCTCCTTGTATCCCATCTACCTTTTACTCTCAGTGTAGCTACAACTAGAAAGTGATCTGATATATCTGTGGCCCCTCTATAAACATGTACATCCTGAAGTCTACTCGTCTTTTATCTACCAATACATAATCCAACAAACTACTGTCATTTCGCCCTACATCATATCTTGTATACTTATTTATCCTCTTTTTCTTAAAATATGTATTACCTATAACTAAACCCCTTTCTATACAAAGTTCAATCAAAGGGCTCCCATTATCATTTACACCTGGCACCCGAAACTTACCTACCACACCCTCTCTAAAAGTTTCTCCTACTTTAGCATTCAGATCCCTTACCACAATGACTCTCTCACTTGGTTCAAAGGCTCCTATACATTCACTTAACATCTCCCAAAATCTCTCTCTCTCCTCTACATTCCTCTCTTCTCCAGGTGCATACACGCTTATTATGACCCACTTTTCGCATCCAACCTTTACTTTAATCCACATAATTCTTGAATTTACACATTCATATTCTCTTTTCTCCTTCCATAACTGATCCTTCAACATTACTGCTACCCCTTCCTTTGCTCTAACTCTCTCAGATACTCCAGATTTAATCCCATTTATTTCCCCCCACCGAAACTCCCCTACCCCCTTCAGCTCTGTTTCGCTTAGGGCCAGGACATCCAACTTCTTTTCATTCATAACATCAGCAATCATCTGTTTCTTGTCATCCGCACTACATCCACGCACATTCAAGCATCCCAGTTTTATAAAGTTTTCTTCTCTTTTTTAGTAAATGTCTACAGGAGAAGGGGTTACTAGCCCATTGCTCCCGGCATTTTAGTCGCCTCATCCGACACGCATGGCTTACGGAGGAAAGATTCTTTTCCACTTCCCCATGGACAATAGAAGAAATAAGGAAGAACAAGAGCTATTTAGAAAAAGGAGAAAAACCTAGATGTAAATATATATATGCATGTGCGTGTTTGTGAAGTGTGACCAAAGTATAAGTAGGAGTAGCAAGATATCCCTGTTTTCTAGCATGTTTATGAGACAGAAAAAGAAACCAGCAATCCTACCATCATGCAAAACAGTTACAGGTTTCTGCTTCACAGTCATCTGGCAGGACAGTAGTACTTCCCTGGGTGGTTGCTGTCTACCAACCTACTACCTACTACAGATTTATATGCTCTCCAAAGTCATTCTACTTTCTTCCATTCTCTCTAAATGACCAAACCATCTCAACAGCCCCTTTTCAGCCCTCTGACTAATACTTTCAATAACTCCACACCTCTTCCTAATTTCCACACTACAAATTCTCTGAAATATATTTACACCACACATTGTCTTTACACCCAACATCTCTATTGCCTCCAGCTGTCTCCTTGCTGCAGCATTTACAACATATGCTTCACACCCATATAAGAGTGTTGGTACCACTATACTCTCGTACATACTCTTCTTTGCCTCCATCATTAACGTTCTTTGTCTCCACAGATACCTCAATGCACTACTCACCTTTTTTCCTTTATCAATTCTATGGATAACCTCATCCTTCATAAACCCATCTGCTGACAAGTCAACATAGATATATTTAAGATGTTTTATAGTGTATTTTATACTTCTGTTTTAACATACTCATTCAATATAATTAACCTATTTATAAAAAATGGAACTAATTTAAAGCACTGCAATAATTTAAGTACTGAGGGAAGAATTTGATATGTATAGTATTTCAGTTACACCAGCAAATTCTTAAACAGTGGCAGGGGCAGTAGGAACTTCAACTTTAGCCAGCTGCTTAATCAATATTTCAGAGAATATGGAAGAGGTGAATGTATTCAGATATTTGGGAGTGGACGTGTCAGCAGGTGGGACTATGAATGATGAGGTGAATCATAGAATTGACAAGGGAAAAAAGGTGAGTGGTGCACTGAGGACTTTGTGGAGACAATGAATTTTATCCATGGATGCAAAGAGAGGAATGTATGAGAGTATAGTTAAACCAAGGCTCTTAAATGGGTGTGAAGCATGGGTGGTGAATGCTGCAACAAGGAGAAGGGTGGAGGCAGTGGAGATATCGTACCTGAGGGCAATGTGTGGTGTGAATGTAATGCAGAGAATCCGTAGTTTGGAGATTAGGAGGAGGAGCAGGATTACCAAAGCTATTACCCAGAGGGCTGAGGAGGGGTTATTGAGGTGGTTCGGACATGAAGAGATGATGGAACAAAATAGAATAACTTGGAGGGTGTATACATCTGTAGTGAAGGGAAGGTGGGGTAGGGGTTGGCCTAGGGAAGGTTGGAGGGAGGGGGTAAAAGTCTTGTGCGCGAGAGGCTTGGACTTCCAGCAAGCATGCATGAGCATATTAGATAGGAGCGAATGGAGACAAATGGTTTTTAGGACTTGACGTGCTGTTGGAGTGTGAGCAAAGTAACATTTATGAAGGGATTCAGGGAAACCTGCAGGCCGGACTTGAGTCCTGGAGATAGGAAGTACAATGCCTGCACTCTGAAGGAAGGGTGTTAATGTTGCAGTTTTATAACTGTAGTGTGAGTGCATATCTGGCAAGATGGTGATAGAGTGAATGATGATGAATTTTTTTTTTTTTTTTGGGGGGGGGGGGCACCCTACCTTGGTGGAAAATGGCCGATGTGTTTATAAAATAAAAAAAAACTAACTGTATATTAATTTTCAGGGAGAGGAATTAACTGCTTGAAAATATTAATTTCAACAGAGCAAGAAGAAAAAACTACTACAAAATAAGGATACAAATAAAATGTTAAAATTTTTCACTAACTTACCTGAGGCCTACTGATACCATAGCAACATTATCAAGGTTTAGTTTGCACCAATGTTGAACTTCGTGGGCAAACGTCGCAGAAAACAAAGCTCTTTTAATATTGGGTCCAGTGCAGGCTTGGTACACTGCTGCCAACTGGTCTCTGAAGCCATGCACTCCTGCTTCGAATAAACGATCACTCTCATCCACGATAAGCCATTCCACTCTTTTAGAAAAATAATAGGACAGAGATGAAATTCCACAATTTTTTTTGTTTTTAATATAATATAAATACAACAAATTTCTCAAAACCTCTTAATAGCTCAGTGACTACAGGTTTTAATAAAAAAATTCATTTTAAAGTTTAATAACTGGAAACTTGAATAATAGCAAAATCTCAATTCTTTCTCCTTTTTAAACAGTGTTAAGTCCCTTGCATGTTCATTAGGTATACTGTATTCATACAGAATACATCTTTCAATGTAGTCCAGCTTTCTCTGAATGTATCCTGTACTGCACAATTTTTTTCATTACCCCAGCAATCGTATTCCACCATGGCAGAGTGGCCCCAAACCAGGAAACACATCCAGGTTTCATTCTTATCAACTTTCAACAAATAAAATTAAAAGAAGGAGAAAGGAATAAGGGAAATATTACAAGACTGAAAGTAAGACTGTGATTAAAACAGAAAAATAAAGGAGATAAAGTAATAGAGACAACAAAAGTATGTTTGGTCTGCTACTGAAATAAATGTAGATGTACTTCTGTAATATGAACATGCTAATTACAAATATAAAGTTGAAAATGAGCTAGTATGTCTGGATTTTTGGTTATTGGAAAATATAATTTCAAGAAATGTTTATTCATAAATCATGTTCCATCAAAATTTATAACACAGGTAACATAACGAGTCATTAGAAACTTATTTCCTATTATAAAGTACCTACTAAAGAGTGCCTCAAGGACTTTAAATATATTCTCACTTTAAGCAGAAAATACAGTGGACCCCTGGTTTACGATCAGCTCCCAATGCGACCAATTATGTAAGTGCGTTTGTATGTGTATGTTTGGGGATCTGAAATGGACTAATCTAATTCACAATATTCCTTATGGGAACAAATTCGGTCAGTACTGGCACCTGAACATATTTCTGGAATGAAATAATATCATAAACCAGGGGTCCACTGTACTTAAAAATGTTTTAAGCATTGGCTTTATGCTTATGACTAACAGTGGGAGCTCTCTGAAGAAACCAACAGTAGTTGGTTGCTGGGACCGAAATGCCCCTGATAGCATACCTCTATTGTACTGACATTCAGATGAAGCTTTTCACCATGCTCATCACTAACACCACCAAGACTGGATGGAAATAGGTTCAGGAGTGTATGAATAAAGTGCATTTTCAGGGAGCAACCCAGTGCTCTACAGGCCTCTACCATATTTTGCACTGTGTATTCTCTGCCTTCCTAGAAAGTTTTGGACAACATGTCTGAAGGCTTTTCATGCAGCCAGCTCCAGTGGGTCACTTTTGATAAGACTGGGTCGGATAGCAGTTCATGTATATGTGGCCCAACAAATACTCCTGTCTAGAGTTTTGCGTTGGTTAAAACTCCTCTGAATTATTCCTTATGGTAAAGAAATCCTGCACCTTCACCATCCACAGCTTTCACAAGGTTTTTCACGTAACATAAAACCACAGGTGTTGTCAATATGTTACATGATGGGTTAATTCTGACTTCAGATTTCTTTCAGCATACTAAAATAATCTAAAAGGCTTTCATTCACTAAAGTAGCAAATTTATTGTTGTCCTGTGTGAGAATACTCTTTACTCACTGTCAACACTTACTTTGATAAACTGAGCGGTAGACCATCATGTTCCTGCAGGAGGTATATTAAACGGTTTGGTGTTGTGACAAGCACATCTGAAAATAAATTTATTACTAATGACCCTGTTCTTTCCTTCACTGTATTTCATGGTGAAGTTACTCACACAAAAATAAATGATCATATGAACATATGAGTTTTATTTTAAAAAAGTCTTGTATAATACAAGTAATGTATACTGGATATAATGTGTTTGTTCAATCTTTATGATTGCCTAGATTCCTACTTTCATTAAATGGGAAGGCACAAGTCCCTCAAGAAGAATGAATAACTGTGGTAGAATGAGAGAGTCCAAAATTCAATAGTACTTAATCTTTCTTTCTTTCAACATACCAGCCATATCCCACCGAGATGGGGTGGCCCAAAAGAAAAAACTAAAGTTTCTCCTTTTAAATTTAGTAGTATATACAGGAGAAGGGGTTACTAGCCCCTTGCTCCCGGCATTTTAGTCGCCTCTTACGACACGCATGGCTTACAGAGGAAGAATTCTGTTCCACTTCCCCATGGAGATAAGAGGAAATAAACAAGAACAAGAATAAGAAAGAAAATAGAAGAAAACCCAGAGGGGTGTGTATATATATGCTTGTACACGTATGTGTAGTGTGACCTAAGTGTAAGTAGAAGTGGGAAGACGTACCTGTAATTTTGCATATTTATGAGACAGACAAAAGACACCAGGAATCCTACCATCATGTAAAACAATTACAGGCTTTCGTTTTACATTCACTTGGCAGGACGGTAGTACCTCCCTGGGCGGTTGCTGTCTACCAACCTACTACCTACAATAGTACTTAATATAAGGACATTTAAAAAATTTACTTATCTACAACAATTTCAAATATGAAACAGAATTATTTAAGAACAAAAAAGGTTGACATACTACGAGTTTATGCTTAGTAGATTCAGCAATGGATTACAGTAATTTTATTATTATTATTATTATTATTACATTAATGGGAAGTGCAAAACCTGTAGGGGGTCATACAGCACCTGAAGAATGATCTAAAGAAGGAGAGAGCAGCTTCAATTCCCTAGAACAAGAGCTTTTCACCAGTATCAAATTACCCCCTTGAGGGTACAGTAACTGTTAAGAGTTCAACAGACTTTGCAGTTTTGAAACTCCTCAAAGGACATTCCTTGAGACCAGAGGTTCTTGATCTAAGAAATCAGACTTGTGGTCTCCTTCCTAGGATCAAACCTGAAAGTCTCCCATTACCCCCCCCCCCAAGTCCTGTATGACCCTCTGAGTTTAGTGCCCCCCTACAAATATAATAATAATACTAATAATAATCTGTGGTTTTATCAGTCTCATCTACACCTCTAAACAAGCCAAACAAAGGAGATTGTCTCATGGTTGCATTTTATCTGCACGTCAGCACACCTACCATTATATATAGAATAAGGCAAATTAGATGTGCTTCAGTCGCTTGCATGACCTTGGAGGAAAAAATTCTGTTCAACATTCACAATAATCCCTTAGGAGATATCTACATATGATCTGCTGGTAAAATAAAAATGAATTTAAGAGCTACTTACCAAACTTCTGAGAAGACTGAGGGCCAAATTTCTCCCGGGCTTTGCTGACATTACTAATGATGAATGCACGTATTCCCAGCCCTTCAGCAAGCCTCACACATTCCCTGGAAATTCAATAACGTCAGACACACTAAGAGCTGTACTACAGCTTACATGGTGTGTATGTTCCTAGGTCCCATGCATATAAAACATTTTTCTCTTACAATTTGAAAAAATCTACTTTATTTTTTTTTTTTAACAAGTCGGCCATCTCTCACCGAGGCAGGGTGACCCAAAAAGAAAGAAAATCCCCAAAAAGAAAATACTTTCATCATCATTCAACACTTTCACCTCACTCACACATAATCACTGTTTTTGCAGAGGTGCTCAGAACACAACAGTTTAGAAGCATATACATGTACATATAAAGATACACGACGTATCCCTCCAAACTGCTAATATCCCGAACCCCTCCTTTAGGGTGCAGGCATTGTACTTCCCATTTCCAAGTCTCAAGTCCGGCTATATAAAAATAACCGGTTTCCCTGAATCCCTTCACTAAATATTACCCTGCTCACACTCCAACAGATCGTCAGGTCCCAAATACCATTTGTTTCCATTCACTCCTATCGAATATGCTCATGCACACCTGCTGGAAGTCCAAGCCCCTCGCCCACAAAACCTCCCTTACCCCTTCCTTCCAATCTTTTCAAGGACAACCCCTACCCCGCTTTCCTTCCCCTACAGATTTATACGCTCTCCATGTCATTCTACTTTGATCCATTCTCTCTAAATGACCAAACCACCTCAACAATCCCTCTTCAGCCCTCTGACTAATACTTTTATTAACTCCACACCTTCTCCTAATTTCCACACCCCGAATTTTCTGCATAATATTTACACCACGCATTGCCCTTAGACACGACATCTCCACTGCCTCCAACTGTCTCCTTGCTGCTGCATTCACAACCCAAGCTTCACATCCATATAAGAGTGTTGGTACTACTGTACTATACTTTCATACATTCCCTTCTTTGCCTCCATAGATAACGTTTTTTGTCTCCACATATACCTCAATGCACCACCTTTTTTCCCTCATCAATTCTATGATTAACCTCATCCTTCATAAATCATCCACCGACACGTCAACTCCCAAGTATCTGAAAACATTCACTTCTTTCATACTCCTCCCCAATTTGATATCCAATTTTTCTTTATCTAAATCATTTGATACCCTCATCACCTTACTCTTTTCTATGTTCGCTTTCAACTTTCTACCTTTACACACACTCTCAAACTCATCCACTAACCTTTGCAATTTTTCTTTAGAATCTCCCATAAGCACAGTATCATCAGCAAAAAGCAACTGTGTCAATTCCCATTTTGTATTTAACTCTGCATAATTTAATCCCACCCCTCTCCTGAACACCCTAGCATTTACTTCTTTTACAACCCCATATATAAATATATTAAACAACCATGGTGACATTACACATCCCTGTCTAAGACCTACTTTTACCAGGAAGTAGTCTCCCTCTCTTCTACACACCCTAACCTGAGCCTCACTATCCTCATAAAAACTCTTTACAGCATTTAGCAGCTTACCACCTATTCCATATACTTGCAACATCTGCCACATTGCTCCCCTATCCACTCTATTATATGCCTTTTCTAAATCCATAACTGCAATAAAAACTTCCCTACCTTTATCTAAATACTGTTCACATAAATGCTTCAACGTAAACACTTGTTTATTTTGTTTATTTTTATTTACAATTACTACTCTGTAGTTACTTTCTTAAATTCTTCTTTCTTCAACAAACCAGCCATATATAACTGAGGCAGGGTGGCTCAAAAAGAAAAACAAAAGTTTCTCTTTTTAACTTCAGCAATGTATATAGGAAAAGGGGTTACTAGCCCCTTGCTCCTGGCATTTTAGTCGCCTCTTATGACACGCATGGCTTAACCCTTTGACTGTTTTCGACGTATAAATACGTCTTACGAGCCAATGTTTCTGACGTATATATACTCAATAATTCTAGCGGCTTCAAATCAAGCGGGAGAAAGCTGGTAGGCCCACATGTGAGAGAATGGGTCTGTGTGGTCAGTGTGCACCACATAAAAAAAAATCCTGCAGCACACATTGCGTAATGAGAAAAAAATAACTCCGATCGTTTTTTTGGAGTGTATTTTCGTATAGTATTTATCGTTGTATTCGCGTTTTCATGGTCTTAGGTGATAAAATGGAAAACATATTACAGAAATAGAGATGATTTTCATTACTTTGACGATGAAAACGACTTTAAAACTGAGCTCAAAGTAGCGGAAATGTTCGATTTTTACCAATGTTCAGGAGTAAATAAATCACACCACACGTCCAATACACGTAAACTGGGGAGTCTAATATTCTTTCACTAGTGCACTGATATTATTTATACCATTTTTACAATAATGCAGTAGTCTGCATAACAGTAAATTTTGTATTTTTTTGTATGAATAAAAAATCAAAATAGAAAGCAATAATAATATAAGGGGGCCTAGAGATGTGACTAATGAACAGAGCATATGTTATTTTAGTGCCACGAATGTCTACCTTGTTTATTCTGGACCCTATTTTGAAATTGGCATCTTTTTTAGTTTGCGTGAAATTGGCCAAATTGCCAATTTCTGACCACTATATTGGGTAGTCCAAATTAGTAAATGGGAGGTTTCTTGTACTCAGCTGATAGATAAAATGGAGTTCTAAAGAAATAGCTATGAGTTTGGTCAACTGGAACAATGGAATTGGTTGAAAATAGGGCTCAAAGTCGGCGAAATCGCCGATACGCATATGTCGCCGAGACCGCTAACTTCGCGGGAGCATAATTCCATGAGTTTTCGACCAAATTTCGAACTTTTGGTGTCATTACCATCGGGAAAAGATTCTCTATCATTTCATAAGAAAAAATAATTTTTTTTTTTTCAAAAATTGAGCTACATAGAATGACAGTTTCAGAAAGGGGCCTGAAACAGTCAAAGGGTTAAGGAGGAAGAATTCTGTTCCACTTCCCCATGGAGATAAGCAGAAATAAACAAGAATTAATAAGAAAATAGAAGAAAACCCATTATTCTCTGCAAATGGTGAAGAGTAAGTCTGAAAACTGAGAACGATCTGCCTATTATTTTATTTTTGGCAATTGATGAATAAGGTAAAAAAAAAAAAGCAGCTAAATGCTATAGAGGGTAAACAGATAATGACAACAAAAATACAATGTACATAATGAAGATGCACGTTCAGCGGGGAATAACTGTACTATGATACTCATGAGCAGAGTTGCTTATAATACTGCAGACAGTTTATACCTTAAGGCTAATCATTTATGGATATACCTTAAGGCTGATCATTTATGGATATACCTTAAGGTTGATCATTTATGGATATATGTACCTTAAGGCTGATCATTTATAGATATATGTACCTTAAGGCTGATCATTTATGGATATAAATTTCTATGATTATCTTTTATTAAGTGATTGAAAGAACTGTAAGGATGTGCTGATGCCCCCAGAATTTTTAAAATGATGGGCCATTTACTAAAAAAAAATGACTGCACATGAAAAGTACCTTGATAAGAATTAGAAATTTAATGAGCCCTTTTTTTTTATTTGAACTCTATGCATCCTCACTGTCTTACCATATAGCCATTTTCAACAAATTTTACAGAGAATGAGAAAAAGTTCCAGAGTCTAATAAGTAGAGAAAATCTAGGAATCATATAGATTTAGCAATTAAAATCAAAAGAAGGGAGATGTTAGATGAGAAGGTGGGGGTACTGGGATGATAAGAGAAGTATTCTGAGGAATTGTTAAATGTTCATAAAGAAAGGGAGGCAGTGATTTCATGCATTGGGCAGCAAGGTGTAACATCTTGTAAGAGTTCAAAAAGGACAGATCTGAGTGTGGGGGTAGTGCATGAGGCAGTGTGTAGAATGAAAGGGGGTAAAACAACTGGGTGAGATAGAATAAAAAAAGAAATGTTAAAAGCAAGTGACGATAGAGTTTTGGAGTGGTTGATGTGTGTGTTCAATATATGAATGAAAGGAAAGAGGGTACTTTGGGAATGGCAGAGATCATGCATAGCTCCTTTGTATAAGGAAAAGGGGCTAAAAGAGTGTACAAATTATAGGAAAATAATCCTGTTGAGTATACCAGGTAAAGGGTATGGTAAAATTATTACTGAAAGAATTTTGGGTATGACAAAAAACATAGGACTGCAGAGGAACAAGGAGGTTTTTAGGAAGGAGAGGGAATGTGCAAATGAAGTGTTTACATTGAAGTATTTCAGTGAACAATACTTAGATATATTTAAGGAACACTGCTGTATTTATCCCCTGGAAGGCCTGGTCATGGACTTGGCCATGGGGGTGTTGATCCCTAGAATACCCTCTAGGTAGAGTTCAAGTAGTGGAGCTATGTGGCATGCTGCAAGTGTATGGAATAGGTGGTAAGTTACTGAAACTGTGAGGCTTGCGTTAGGGTATGCTGGAGAGAGGGGGTTTATATTCCAGTAATAATTCGTTAGACAGGGATGTGATGTCACCATGACTGATTAACATCTTTATAGATAAGGTAGTAGTAAAAGAATGGAACTCTAAGGTTTTGTAGTGTAGAATTAAAAGATAATGAATCTGATACAAAGTGGGAATTGTCACAGTTACTCTTTGAAAATGACACAGTTCTTCTGGGAGATTCTGAAAAGCTGAAAAGGTTGGTGGAGAAATCTGGGAGGTTATGTAAGGAAAGGAAATTAAAAGTGAACATAAAAAAAAGCAAGGTGATGAGAGTAAAAAAAAATCTAGGTAATGAAAGATTTAATATCAGCTTGGAGGGAAGTAGTATGGAGGAAGGACATGTGCTCAGATATCTGTGAGTGGGCTTTTTGGCAGATGTCTCTATTAAAGACGAGGTGAACCACAGAATTAATGAGGGAAAATAAAAGATGGGTGGTGTACTGAGTCCTCTGTGGACACAGAAATTCATCCATGGAGGCAAAAAGGGGAATGTACCAGAGTATAGACATACAGTGGACCCCCGCTTAATGATCACCTCCAAATGCGACCAATTATGTAAGTGTATTTATGTAAGTGCGTTTGTACGTGTATGTTTGGGGGTCTGAAATGGACTAATCTACTTCACAATATTCCTTATGGGAAAAAATTCGGTCAGTACTGGCACCTGAACATACTACTGGAATGAAAAAAGTTCGTTAACCGGGGGTCCACTGTACTAATATTATTATATGAGTGTGAAGTATGGGTTATAAAATTCAAACTTTTCTATAAAGCAACAATTTTTTAACCTAGCAGCCATTTCACACCGACCGAATACAGACTATTAACTACTAGTCCTTTGAGTCAAGCATTTCAGTGGCTTATGAGGGAAGAACTCTAGCTCGTCTTCTATGGAATTTTGACTTGCATACATAAATAAAAACTGTACTTACCTGTGTGTTTGTCTGGCAAGCTCACGTGTAGGAGAAAGCACAACAGCACGAAATCCTTTCCGCTGCGGACCACCCAGCTGATGCAATATAGGAACCAAGAAGGCAGCAGTTTTACCTATGAGAAAATTCATATTTTGGTCACTGTACCTCAATGAGAGATGGTCAGTGTGTTAAAAATAAATAACACAGCAATAATATTATGTAAAAAAATGATCTTTTCATACATACAATAATTTCAATGCATGCAAAATTTATATTTATTAAAAGATTTCATTAACAAAATAAAAGAATTTACAAATGAAAATACAGACTAAAAAATATATTTAAAATAAAAGAAATATTACAAGTGTTATTTATTAAGCTAGAGGAAAATCATCGTTATTAATATTTGAAGCTAAACTCTACATGGTCTTTCATCTTGAGGACTTGTGGAAGCTTGATTCTAGCAGAAGGAATACTGTATTCAACCAACATGTTAAGAAAAAAATTCAGATGACATAAAGAAGGAATATTCAGTGGACAAAGAAATACCTGTATTCAACTGATCAGGGAAGGCATACTGCTTGACATGGAGGATGTGTACCCAACATAGGGTACACATACATCCTCCAAGTGTAGTCTGAGAATAGAACCACCAGTGGGTAGAGACATGCACATTTTACACCTCTTTGGATAACCAAGGTCAATCCAGCAGTCACCTCATTCAATCAAATACATACTCATTTCAGATGTTCTTTCTGTTTGTAAGTTTTACCTGAGAAGGAACAAAATAATTTAAAGAAATGAAAATAAAAAATCAATTCAAATTCTCCAAAATGGAAGTAAGAGTATTACCTGATCCAGTAGGTGCACAGCCAAGTACTTCCCGACCTTGAAGCATGAGAGACCAAGCCTGCATTTGAATGGGTGTTGGTTCCGCAAAGCCTTGATTTTGAAGGTTGTTTACAATCGTCTTGTTTACACCATAACGATCCACCAACTGTGCAACAGGAAATTATTATTTCTATTATTATTTTAATTTTTAAATAAAAAAATAGCAAATAAAATGATAAGAAATGTGAGGGGTAGTCTGTGGAAGGGAATAACTTCAGCCTACTTTGATATGTATTTGAAAGTGAAGCATGGGTACATCACTGAATAAATATTCAAAGTATAAGCAGTAGATTTAAAAAAAAAAAAAAAAAAAAATTGAATGTGAGCTGAGAATAGTGAAGAATGAAGATGTAAAAGAAGTATATAGCTTAAATAAGGATAACAATCTGGTGATCCCAAGTTTCAACAGCCACCGAGGAAACAACACACCGTATCTCCCCACTTACAATGTTAAGTTTATTCCTAAAAACTCAGAACTCAAAATTTTATTTTCCCATAGACACCCACGTTAGACTTGGAGATGCTAAAATATTCTGTATCTAATTTTGCTTAGTTTTAACAATGAAATTAAAAAAAACATACAGTACTCAGAGGTGTCAGTCTCTGCTCCCTTTCCTTTCCCTCACTCCCATTACTCTCTCTCTCCCTTTCTCTCTCTGTTATTCTCTTATTTCCCTTCTCTCACATTTCCTCCCTCTCCCACTGTATCTGGTACAACACTTTACATTTGTCCTCCAGTCCCCCTCCTTGTATTCCAACCCCACACTATATTCCAACCCCTTAATGCACTCCCCTAAAACACCATAACTCCTCCTTCTGCTCTTCCATTTGTGTAAGGTACAGCAGACCTCAATATAATGGAACTTGGCATAACTGAATTCAGTATAATGGACTTTCAAAATAATGGGCAAAATCCACTGGGTAAACTGTGCTTTTAATACTTTTAGTTTATTTTTATTATTTTTTTTTTTTGCAATATAACTATAAATCATGTGTACATTATTTATTAGGTATAAAGTACCAATGTACTTTTTTTGCAATTTTACAACATTCTTCTGATTTAATGGATACTTAAATAATGCTCCCTAATAGCCTATTATATTGAGGGTTCACTGTAGGTCCATCATTTCCCTATGCTCTTTTTCACTGAATAAAACAGCCAGTTATTTTACATCATCCTCCACCTGACTAACTCTGGAAATTTTCTGACTCTCACAGCCTGGCCTGAGACCAGGGTTTCCTAATGACTTCCTAATTGACCATTTAGTGATTTTATATAGTAACCATCATGTAAAATGAATTAAATGATGCTTCAAATCACTGCAACAATTTTTTACACTAAGTATTGAAGAAAGTTCATGGAAAATTTTAAACATGCTCACATATAAAGCTCTGTAGGAAACAAGACAAGAGGTGCACAAGCATATGCAAATATGCAAAGTGAGAAACCACTTGGACAGAAAAAAAAAAAAAAAAAAAAAAAAAAAAAAAAAAAAAAAAAAAAAACAGGCAAGAGAGCTATATATTTCAGCCTTAGTTGGAGACCATCTGTTGATGAGGGGTCTCTGACCAGGGCTAAATTATACAGATATCACTTACCTGTGTTTCTTGTTTCTGTCCAACTGATTTCTCAGTTTGCACTGATCAATGTTGATGACACTTTAATTCAAGTATGTTGAAAAAACTTACAGATAGGAAATGCATTTTATACAATGAAATGAACATAAGAGATAATAATCACCTTTTCAAATGAATCCAGAGGTTCAGGTATATCAGCTCCCCATACATGAATTCCATTTTTCTTGCGCATGTGGTTCACCTACAAAATTAAAAAAAAATTTGTATTTGTAAATATAAATAATTAAATAATAACCATAATAATAACCATATTAGCAGTTTGGAGGGATATGTTGTGCATCTTAATACGTATATGCTTCTAAACTGCTGTGTTCTGAGCACCTCTGCAAAAACAGTGATTATGTGTGAGTGAGGTGAGTGTTGAATGATGATGAAAGTATTTTCTTTTTGGGGATTTTCTTTCTTTTTTGGGTCACCCTGCCTTGGTGGGAGACGGCCGACTTATTGGCAAAAACATAAACCACCCAGGGAGGTACTACCATCCTGCCAAGTGAGTGTAAAACAGAAACCTACAATTGATTTACGTGATGGTAGGATTGCTGTTGTCATTGTTCTGTTTCATAAACATGCAAGATTTCAAGTACATCTTGCTACTTCTACTTACAATTAGGTCACACTACACATGCATGTACATGCATATACAGTGGACCCCCGGTTAACGAACTTTTTTCATTCCAGTAGTATGTTCAGGTGCCAGTACTGACCGAATTTTTTCCCATAAGGAATATTGTGAAGTAGATTAGTCCATTTCAGACCCCCAAACATACACGTACAAACGCACTTACATAAATACACTTACATAATTGGTCGCATTTGGAGGTGATCGTTAAGCGGGGGTCCACTGTATATGTACACACACCCTAATGACTTCCTAAGAGGTATGATAAAGCTCACGGTTCAGGGAGAGTGACCTAGTAGCGACCAGTGAAGAGGCGGGGCCAGGAGCTAGGACTCGACCCCTGCAACCTCAACTAGGTGAGTACACCCCTCTGGGTTTTCTTCTATTTTCTTATTATTTCTTGCTCTTGTTTATTTCCTCTTATCTCCATGGGCAGATAAGAGGAAGCCGTGTGTGTCGTAGGAGGTGACTAAAATGCTGGAAGCAAGGGGCTAGTAACCCCTTCTGTATACATTACTAAATTTAACCCTTAAATGGTCCAAATGTATATATATGTTTTTTCAACATCTTAATGTAAAAAAATGTAATTTTTTTTTGTTTTACATGTGAAAACGTGTAAAAAAAACTTTTATCAACATTTTTTTTGTTATATTTGAAAGTATATAAAAAAAAGTAGATCTACTTTTGTAGCACTATGAATCTGAACGTCGATCTGTTTGGACCGTTTAAGGGTTAAAAAGAGGAATTTTTGTTTTTCTTTTTGGGTCACCCTGCTTCAGTGGGATACAGCCAGTTTGCTGAAAGAAAGAAAGAAAGAGAAACTTTTGTTTTCATATTTAGGTCACCCTGCCTTGGCGGGATACGGCCGGTTTGTTGAAAAAAAAAAATAATTTTTAGTTACAATATAAATCTTTTAATATGTATGAAATCTTTAAAAGGAAGTCACAGGTAGACAGCAGCCACAACCACCCAGGGAGGTATTACCATCCTGTCACATAAATGCAAGACTGAAACCTATTAGATGTGTAACACTGACAGGATTGTTCATCTTTTCTTTCTGTCTCATGAGCACACGGCAAAGTGGGTTAGAATCCTTCCTCCATACGCCATATATGTTGGAGAAGGCGAATAAAATACTAATAACACCTTCTGTTATAATTACTAAAAAGATAAAGAAGGCAATTTTGAAGTTGGATTGTTTTAATGTACGCTGTAGTAAGAATGATAAGATATGAATGAAAAGGTTGATGTACAAGCAATGAGTTAAATGAAGCTGAAAGGAGTGGAGGAGTTTCAATGGAAAATATTGGCAGCAACATGAGCAGGTGGCAGTATCAACAGTAGCAACAACAACAGTATCTGATAGCAGCATCAGTATTATGGTGCTGGTGATGACAAGTGTTATAGTTCATTTGTTACAGTCCAAACCAAGTCACAGGCTATAAGCCACATCAAATTAAGACAAATGAGTTATTATCTCTGCTATTTATGCCAGAAGAAAAGGAAGGGATGGAGCATTCAGATTCAGTCCAAGAAAAAGGAAGAAAGTTCTGACTTTATGAACTAAGAGCCCTTCACTTTGGCAAAACTTCCCTTTGAAGGATGGCATTTACAAGATTCTCTTAAAGTCTGCAATTCAATTTACAGTGTAATTTCTCAGAGAACCCACAACACCAACATTGTTTGAACAGCAGTCTCACACCATGGATTAGAAGAAAGCAGCAATTATTGTTAAGGAACCGCACGAGCCTAGGAGAATTTTGGAAGCAGCAGCTACTGATTAGTCATAGAAAAGAACAAATACTTGCTATTGTACCACTTGACTTCATCTATGAGGGGTACAATCATGAGGAAATCTACTTAAGAGGTGACTATCACCCTGGACAAAACAACACCCTACACGACAGCCCTACATCCTGAAAAAATGATGCCAACACAGTGTTCCCTCCACTCTGCCAAGTATATAGTCATACCTGTGATTTTCTGTACAATAAACAGACTTAATGAAAATCACTTTAATGGACTTCAAAAAAGGCAAGACAAAATACGCTGCATCAACTGACTGGGAAACAAACAAAATCCGACATTAACAGAATTGTTTATTATTATTACGATCACAACAAAACAACCGCATTTGTATTCACCATAATCACCAGTACTGGCCATTTGTTCTCCCTTATTAGTCTGTTAAATCAATAGTTTACTATACAGTGCAGTATAGCTAATATCAAGTTTATTTTCTACCCTACAGGTATCTTATTTAGATGTGAATTAATTGTATTGTGCTCATAAGAATTAAATAAGGACAAAAAGAGATATATCAAAGAGTAGAACAGATATACAATATCAGTTAACCATTAAATATAGGGTCATAAATACGTTTAACAAAATTTTTTTGAGAATCTGAAAAATGCAACTGAAACTTTTTCCTTTACCTGTTCTTGATGTAATTCAAGCTGTTTCTGCTTGCTATCTTTCTTCTTTTTCTTCTTTCTTCGGTCAGGTGCAGCTTTTCCAAGCTGAACATCTGTCAGCATGCTGAGATGACCTTCTTCACCCTCACTGCCATCTGTAACAAGATTATAATGATAAAATGAAAATAAGGTTACAAAGCTCATAATGCTGATGGCCACTTAGACTTCTGGTTTGTTTATAGAACTAAGAGCCTGACTGATCAGGTCATTAACATGAAATCCAGTCTAGGGCTGGGCCATGGGACAATGATCCCAGAATCATCAGGTAGGAAGGCAAAAAAAAAAAAAAAATGAACTTTTTTGCTGTCAACATTTTAGCATGGAAATAATAAATATGGTCAATATTCTGTAAGTGTATTACCACCAGTGTTGATACATTCACTACCAGTGCTCACACACTCAACACCAGTGTTCACACAGTCACCACCAGTGCTGATACCTGTTTGTATAAGGGATTTTAGAAACGAAGTTACCAATCCTGAAGTAATCTGAATGGATACCAAGGAACTGTATTTGCATTGCTCAATAGTTAATAAATGTAAGTCATAAAATTAAAATGACACTCTTAGGTACAAGGCAGGGGTGAGTGTAGAAAATTATGAGTCAAAATGCTTCCTTCAACACTGAATCCAGTTGATTGCAAAAAGTTTTCTTGGGATCTACAAAAAATATACTTTTCTGAATGTGCAAGAGATCCTTTTGTTTACTGACAACACACTGAATATGCCTATTATAAAATTTATTTATGGAGTTACTGTATTGATCTGTCAATTTACATCACTGTACATATTCTTGAGGAAATACAGTGGAACCTAGGTTTTTGTTTGCCCTGGTTTTTGTTGAATTCGGTTTTCCACGATTTTTTTTCATCAAAATTTTGTCCCAGTTTTCATTCATCACCTCGGTTTTCGTCAGTCCGTCGTACCAAACACGTCCACCTGCCCACGCCCACACAAAGCATCCCAAGCGTTCTGAGTCAGTTTGGCTTTGTTTCTCGTCGAGTGAGCATTACCCAGCGCATTCATCCGAAACATTTTGTGATAATCTATTGTTTTTTGTGCTTGTTTATTGAGTGCGACTGCTAAACAACCTACCATGGGGCCAAAGAAAGTTCCGAGTGCCAGCCCTTTGATAAACAAGGCGAGAAACGCAATAGAATTCAAGAAAGAACTCGTAGCAAAGTACGGGGTTGGATGTGAGTGGCTAGGATGTGGAAGAGTTGGTGGATGACCACAAGGAAGAGTTAACCACTGAAGAGTTGCAACACCTTCAACTGGAACAACAACAGATCACAGCTGAGGAAATTGCTTCAGAGGAGGAAGAGAGAGGGGAGAATGTGCCTTCAGGAAAGGTTACTCTGCTGCTGATCTGTTGTTAAACCTCTCCACTAAGTGGCACCAGTCACTGGATGAATCCAAAGTCAGCTGTGTGGTAGCACTGGACATTGCTGGCGCTTTCGACCGGGTGTGGCACCAGGGCCTTCTAGCAAAACTTCAAGCACTGGGAATTGCAGGCTCTACACTACATCTCCTCAGTCATCACCTTCATGGTAGATCTCTAAGTGTAGTTCTCAATGGAACGGAATCAGCAAGACATCCTATTGGGGCAAGTGTTCCACAAGGAAGTGTGCTGGGACCATTCTTATCGAATGTCTACTTCAACGACCTTCTTCATCTCATCCCAGAATCACATGCATATGCAGACGACTGTACAATGACACTCACTTATCCAAGAGAAGAAATGCCAGCTGCTCTAAGCTACATCAATCACCAGCTAAGAGCTATATCAGCTTGGGGAAATAGATGGTAAGTAACATTTGCACCTGAGAAAATGCAAATGATGATGGTCTCTAGGCACCATGATAGTAATGCTGGTGCAGTAGTAAGGATGAATGGGAGGGTGTTCGCACCTGGAGAAGAAGTTGATATCCTTGGGGTGAAATTTGACTCCAAACTAACCATGAAGAACCATGTTGTAAATCTTGCAAACAAGGCAGCCAGGAAGCTTACAGCACTTCGCCGTATCTCGCATCTGCTTGACAGTAGGGGTTGCAAGATACTGTACGAGGCACAAGTACGCTCACACCTTGAGTATGCTCCACTTTCTTGGTTTGCCTGTCCCCCCTCTCATCTGCGACTGCTTGACAGAGTAGAGAACAGAGCAAGACGTCTCATCTCTCGCCTGGACCCATCCTGGATGGATCTGTCATTTCAGCAGAGCCTTCAACTAGGAGGGATGTGGGTGGCCTTACTGTTATGTACAAGGCCAATATTGTCAAAATACCACACTTGGATCCACTTCGAGGACAGCGCGAAACAAGCTTTTATGCCACAAGACGGGCAGAAAGCAGCAACTTCACTCTGGCTGTACCCTTCTCCAGAACATCACTCCATCTGAGATCATACATACCCAGGATGACTCGAGTATGGAACACATTCGTTCAGCATAATGATGTCAACGAGATAACGTCAGTTGATCAAATGAAAATGCTGGCCCACAGATGGCTCCAACTTCATCCTGTTCCCTACTTGTATGTCTCATAACAATAAAAATGCTTTCAAATGAGCTGATGTAGGTAACAGCTCTTAGCTTGTCAATAAAGTTAGGAATCCTTAACCTGTAAATAGCTTGTCAATAAAGCTAGGGATCCTTAACCTTGTCAAACCATGTGTAAAAAAAAAAAAAAAAAAAAAAAAAAAAAAAAAAAAAAAAAAAAAAAGAGAGAGAGAGAGAGAGAGAGAGAGAGAGAGAGAGAGAGAGAGAGAGAGAGAGAGAGAGATAGAGATAGAGATAGAGATAGATAGAATATATAATATATATATATATATATTATATATATATATATATATATATATATATATATATAATATATATATATATATATATATATATATATATATTTTTTTTTTTTTTCAACAAGTCGGCCGTCTCCCCACCGAGGCAGGGTGACCCAAAAAAGAAAGAAAATCCCCAAAAAGAAAATACTTTCATCATCATTCAACACTTTCACCACACTCGCACATTATCACTGTTTTTGCAGAGGTGCTCAGAATACAACAGTCTAGAAGCATACACATATAAAGATACACAACATATCCCTCCAAACTGCCAATATCCCAAACCCCTCCTTTAAAGTGCAGGCATTGTACTTCCCATTTCCAGGACTCAAGTCCGACTATATGAAAATAACCGGTTTCCCTGAATCCCTTCACTAAATATTACCCTGCTCACACTCCAACAGATCGTCAGGTCCCAAGTACCATTCGTCTCCACTCACTCCTATCTAACACGCTCACGCACGCTTGCTGGAAGTCCAAGCCCCTTACCCACAAAACTCCTTTACCCCCTCTCTCCAACCCTTTCGAGGACGACCCCTACCCCGCCTTCCTTCCCCTATAGATTTATATGCTTTCCATGTCATTCTACTTTGATCCATTCTCTCTAAATGACCAAACCACCTCAACAACCCCTCTTCTGCCCTCTGACTAATACTTTTATTAACTCCACACCTTCTCCTAATTTCCACACTCCGAATTTTCTGCATAATATTTACACCACACATTGCCCTTAAACAGGACATCTCCACTGCCTCCAACCGTCTCCTCGCTGCTGCATTTACCACCCAAGCTTCACACCCATATAAGAGTGTTGGCACTACTATACTTTCATACATTCCCTTCTTTGCCTCCATAGATAACATTTTTTGACTCCACATATACCTCAACGCACCACTCACCTTTTTTCCCTCATCAATTCTATGATTAACCTCATCTTCATAAATCCATCCGCCGACACGTCAACTCCCAAGTATCTGAAAACATTCACTTCTTCCATACTCCTCCTCCCCAATTTGATATCCAATTTTTCTTTATCTAAATCATTTGACACCACTCATCACCTTACTCTTTTCTATGTTCACTTTCAACTTTCTACCTTTACACACATTCCCAAACTCATCCACTAACCTTTGCAATTTTTCTTTAGAATCTCCCATAAGCACAGTATCATCAGCAAAAAGTAACTGTGTCAATTCCCATTTTGAATTTGATACCCCATAATTTAATCCCACCCCTCTCCCAAACACCCTAGCATTTACTTCCTTTACAACCCCATCTATAAATATATTAAACAACCATGGTGACATTACACATCCCTGTCTAAGACCTACTTTTACCGGGAAGTAGTCTCCCTCTCTTCTACACACCCTAACCTGAGCCTCACTATCCTCATAAAAACTCTTTACAGCATTTAATAACTTACCACCTATTCCATATACTTGCAACATCTGCCACATTGCTCCTCTATCCACTCTATCATATGCCTTTTCTAAATCCATAAATGCAATAAAAACTTCCCTATCTTTATCTAAATACTGTTCACATATATGCTTCAATGTAAACACCTGATCTACACATCCCCTACCCACTCTAAAACCTCCTTGCTCATCCGCAATCCTACATTCTGTCTTACCTCTAATTCTTTCAATTATAACCCTACCGTACACTTTTCCTGGTATACTCAGTAAGCTTATTCCTCTATAATTTTTACAGTCTCTTTTGTCCCCTTTCCCTTTATATAAAGGGACTATACATGCTCTCTGCCAATCCCTAGGTATATATATATATAATATATATATAATATATATATATATATATATATATATATATATATATTATATATATATATATATAATATATATGCAGCATATGGAAATCTTTATTCAGGAAACGTTTTGCCACACAGTGGCTTCATCAGTCCAATATAAAGAGGAAGGCATAAGGAGAGGAGGAGTATGAGGTAATCAGTCCCTCAGCCTGGAGTCGATGTGTTCAGTCCATCAATCTTGTAGAATGTACAGCATAGGGCCGTAGACGTGGCTTATATACTGTAGTGAGGTGAGGTGAAGCAGGCGGAGGCGGGGTCATAGTGGTACCATCCACTAGTCGAAGTAGGTCTTCGTCCAAAGGTTGAACAAGTGTTGAAGAATTCTTTGTAACAAGATCCCATGATGCTGCAGTGTCTGACAGTTGTGATGAATGGTTTGAAAAACCGACAAGTTGAAGATTGAGACACTTATGCAGCATATGGGAATCTT